TTTTTTTTTTTTTTTTTTGACAAGTAGTGTGGTTATTTGGACATGTTCTGCCTTACCTTGCTTGCCAGAGCAAGTACTCAATAGGATGAGTTTCACTTAAAAGTCAGCTAGGATTTTGATATTTTAGTGGAGAAAAAAATGGAAAAGCTTTAATCTTTTTAGGGTAGTGATCAAAAACTCTAGGCAGATCCGTTATGTTAGTTTTTCTACTATAAATATGTGCATTTCATGATCACTATACCCAGTAGCTGAAGAACAAATTGAAGAGATTTATTAAGATAGCAATTAGAAGGAGAAGTTACCTGCCTTACAGAATAGTTTCTGCCTTGGAACTTGCACTCATTTCAGGGGTGTTGACCAGGTCACCAATATAACACAGAAGAGTCAGGGATGAAATATAGCATCAGGACACCCCCCCACACCCTCCTTTCCTCCATGCTGGGCTCTGTTAAAGAGCTTCCAGTGGAATAATTGTGCCTTCACCTCTAAGGGGAGCAATAAGGTGCAGATCTTCTAGGTCCCAGAGATGTGCTTTCAGAGATGCAGGTGACCAGGTCACCTTCAGTATAAAGGACTTCCTCCTGGTCCCAGCAAATTCTTCTTGGCCCTCAAGGCTGCCTGTTTTCTTTTAGCTTGTCACTTTGGCACTCCTGACTGTTCAGTACCTGACTGGACTTTTAAATGAGATCGTTTCTTCCCCTTGGTGTTTCAGAATTGTTCAGTATTAACCATTTTCTCACCCTTATCTCCCTCAGATGAACAAAATGTAAAAGACTGCTTCCAGGCATAGTGGTCAGCTAAGTGAATTCCTTAACTCTGCTGGGCTAACACACAATGCTAATTATTGTAATAGGGATGTAGATATTAAGAGTTTGGGGGGGCAACACACAAAATGAGTGTAAATGAAAGGGCCAAGTAGCAAATAAATGGAGTGGACTATAAGTATTGAAAGTGTTCAGATGACAGGTTGGGAGTACAGAGTACTTACCTAGTACGTGGGAAGCCAGGGAAGTTCAGTCCACAATACTACACCAAAACCAAAATGGTTAGGAAGAGAAAGTAGCTACCATGGGTGGCCAATGTTAGGAGCACAAATCTCAAAAATAATTGCAAAATTGTTGAGCATGTACTATGTAATAGCCCCTATGCTTAACATTTTGTTTACCTTATATCACTGACTATTACTTTCAGTATCCTTTGTGAAGATGAGGAAATGGGCACATTGAGGCAGTGTGTTGCCCACTTTTCTCCAGCTAGTATGAGGAGTGTTCTGATGCTCCTTTGGTAATTAGCAGAAGACATAGTTAGGGTCTCTGGTTTTGAGCTATTATAAAACAAAGCAAGCAACTGTTTGTAATACTGGATTAATAGGATTGAAAGGGACTAATGTAAAGCATTTAGAATAGTAAAGTGTTTTTAGACTCCATGATTGTCCGTAAAAATTTGATGTGATAACTTACCAACCACTCTTATGTGTCTCATCGAAATAGGTCTCTAAAGACCTGTTTTTCAGCCGTAGCCAGCTCTTCTGAAATACTTGATAGGAAATGATGAGTCTTTTCCTTGTTCATTTCTCCTCTTTGGGGGATTTTCAGTAATCAGGCTTGGTATTCTCCCATTTTATTTCAATATGTAAGATTTTTCCATGTTTGGGATTAGTGAGGGAGCAGCCCAAGTGGGGTACCTGGCCCAAAAGGGAGGAGTGCAGTAAATGCCTGCTGGACACATGAATAGATCTATACATCTTAATAACTGGAGTCCAACTTACTTAGCACTGAGAAAGGCACCTTGCACACTGAATCTGGCCCCTTTCACTGATGCATGAGGATGACATTGAAGGAAATGTTGGCTGCATTTACCTATAACACGGAAAGAAGAAAGATCAGTCACGGGTGGCCTGTGTTCACAGTTTTGTGGCAAGTGGAGAAAGGATATTGCTTTAAACTCACTTTCACATCTAGGGCAGATTGCAGTTTGTCAATTAATCAATTGATTAGCATTGATTACAACATGTTACAATACAATTACAATATCAAAATAATTTAGGAAGAGTGAGGAAATTCCGTAATTCCAATACCCTAGTACAGTGACCCATCACTGCTTCATATATATTTTTATAGTTACCTTCACAGTGTATGTCAAATTCTTTATGTTATCTACCTAAAATTATCAAGTGTAAATTAATAGTGAGAGCTACTGATTATTTTTGTCATTGCGCGGATAGGTCTTTGCCTAATCGACAGCGCTTTACTCGGTTTGACCAGAAGGTGGCACTGTAGGACAAGCTGCTATTTCCTGGACGGGACACAGAGTGCCTTCTCCCCTTGACCTGGTTTAAGAACAAAACACAGATCATAACTTGAAAAATTATATGAGTCATTCAAAATTGTCCTGGAAAAAATATGTCAGAAATATGTAGGAATTTAATTTTATAATAATATATTCTACTAATGTTTTTTGAACAACCATGCTAGATACCAGACACATGAAGATTAATAAAATAAATAGCCTGCCTACAGAGGTTTCAGATGTAATCTCTAAAAAAGATTTGTGAATAATAAACAGCATCTAGTGTGGTAAATGCAATCAGTGGATCCAAAAGTAAGTGAACACCTCTTATTTTGTGGAGGAGGAAAGGTAGACTTCGCACAGTAGCACCTAAAATCTGAATAGTGGTAACCTATTACAAATATAAAAAATAAAATTTTCTTGCAGTATGCGAGGTTATAAGATGAAACTTTTAGAGGATTGTCTACACTTGCTTCCCAAAGCCACAATTAACAAGTGCTTTTTCCTTCTCCTCCCTGAAATCAGCAAATACATTTGAACAGTAAACACAAGCTTAGTGAGGGTGAAATCTTTTTGTTACTGGCCAATTCTCTTCTACCTAGGAGTGATTGGCATGTAGTAGTTTCTCAGTAAGTATTGTGTTGTGGATTGATAGAATGAGATCTTTTCTGGAAATGTCACCAGCAGCGCTTTGTAGAGATGATTGAAGGGAGTCAGGGCTGGAGACTGGAGTAGTGATGGTGCACTTGCTATAGTGTTACAGATGAGGCAGTAAACAGGGAGGGAGAGAGAAAGATTATTAATGTGGACTCTGTCAAGGATAGATCAGAAGCAGGACTTATGTTGGATTAGATTTGAGAAGTAAGAGTGGGAGAAGGAACTGATTCAGTAGGCTTTCTGGCTTCAGTGATAGGAAGTTGCAGAAAAGAGCTGGATTTCATTTGGGATGTGTTGGATTTAAGATGCCTGAGGAAAATTCAGTTGGAGACACATAGAAGGCAAGTGAATTTATGTGTTTGGAGTCCAAAAGAGACATCTGTATAGATAACGGATTTGCAGGTAGATTTCATGCCCATTAGTTCTGCAGATAAAAGAAATTGAGGCTGAGAGAAACGACCTGTTTGCAAGTTTTTAAATGATATAAACATTCCTCAGCTGATCCACATTCTTGTTGAAGACAGGCTCGTATCGGTCTTCTAGGACTCTGTCCACTGCCTCCAGAGCCCAAACTATTGGCATAACTGGAAGCAGTTGGCCTTAGAATGATTGCTGTGTTCTCTCACTTTATTCTTCCAAGGAGCATATTTTTGTTGAACTCTTCTGTAACTCAGCAGGCAGTTCTCCCTAGAGTCTGAATTCATGCACTGTCTCCTGGCTTGCTCTGTGTGAACCCAAACCTGGCTCAGCCCGGACTACTCAGAGCTGAGCTTCTGAATTTGGCTTGTTTTGTAGGCTAGCAGTAGCTGCTAATCCTCACTGTCCTTTTCTGAATTAGTGGAAAGCCAAGGCTATATCTCTTTTCATCAAGGACCTTGGACAGATGACTTTACTGGTCCTTAGTTTCCCCCTTTGAATAATGAAACAAGCATAGTATGTTTTTTATAGCATTAGGAAACTATGCATATGAAAATGTTGTTCTAGATCTCTTAGATACTTTTTTTAAATGTTACACATCTGGAAAAACATTGTTTTGCTGCTTTGGTATCAGAAAGAAAATTGGCTGTAGCAACTCCATTCTGAGAGATTTCCTGATTTCTGGTTTGTCTTTGTGGGAAGCAGGAAAAAACAGTGATGCTTGGTGGAATACAGCCAGACGGTGGCTGGCTGAGTGGTGAGTCCTAACAGCTGGCGAGGCGGAGGGAAGTGCAAGAACAACTGGCCAGTTATGGCTGAGAGTCACAGGATGAGGATGAACTTGGGAGGGTCAGTAGGGAAGCTCTTTCCAAGGCTGAGGCAGTTCACTGGACAGCAGGAGCAGCTGGATGGAAGCTGCTTCTCCAGCACTCTCCAGTGCTGAAGGGATTATTCAAAAGAGGGCTGATTTGGTGTTATACCAAAGGACAAAGTCAGAAAATACAACCAGAGGGAAGGAGATGGACAGAGAATGGGAAATTTAGAATAAGAGCAGGTTTATTTTTATTTAGGAAATTCAAAATTAAAGCAGTTTAGATGAGCTTGCATTTAAAAAAAATAGACAGCTAGTGCCAAAGCCGTGCATGCCACCATTGGAGTCCCTGTGCTCTAGCTCTTGTCAGTCAGAACATTGGGGTGATCTATGAAGATCCACTACAGGCAAAAGCTGGCAGCTCAGAGTTGCATGGGTGGTACTTCTTGTTCTTAGGTCTGGCCACTGAGCCTGGGAAAGCTAGCTTTTATCTCTAGGGGTAGGGGTCTTTCCCTTAGGTGTGGATATGGGGCACCAGTGAGAACAGCTAGCTTAAGTCTGGATTATTCTGATTCCTTGAGTTCCATCTCTTTCTATTGTGGTGATGATTCTGAATTACTGATGTCAGGAGCCAGGGATCCCTAAGTGAGTTTTATACTTGAAGAAGAATGTGTAGATTCTTAATTTCACATGTCAAGACATACCCTTTCTTAATCAGCATGTGTAAGCCAATTTTACTTTGAGGAAATGATTTTTTATTCATTCAACAAGTATGTATTGAGTATATTCCTAAACTGTGTAGTCCAATAGGCTCCTTCAAATAAAAGCACAGACTTGGGGGAGAGACTGGTCCCATCCTGGCACCTCTCCCTGTTAGAGGTGAACCTCAGAGGCTGCTCTGGAGGCTCACTTCATTTTCATGCTTTTGTGTTTTCAATTTTTGAGAGTTTTCTTTTCTCTTGGATTCCCAGTTATGTTTTCTTACTGTCTGAGGGGGGGTGGGATTATTTGATCCCTTTACCTGGGCCAGAGAGAAAAAGAAGAACCTGGGGGAGCCCTGATCTCCTGAAATTTGGTGTGTAAAGCCCTTGGCCAATAGTGGGCACAAGGTAAGGACCAATTAGTGGCAGCTACTGCCAGGACTGTTACCCTGCTGGAAGTGATAGTGGCAGTGTTGCTCAGCCATTCTGAGGTACAGACATCACTGTGTTCCAACAGTCTCTGCCTCCTTTCCTTTAGGAAGACTAAGTTCTGGTGCTGCTTGTTTCAGGGGTGTATTCCCTGATTGGTAACCCTTGCTATTTGTTGCCTAGTGTGCACCCTTGCAAATGGGCCCTGCAATTCCCAGTTAGTAAAAGTACCTACTAATTAATTCCCTGATGTCCTAAGGGAATTTAATAAGGTGAGCTCAGGGAAAGGGGGCAAAAAAAAAACAAACCTCAGAAGACCAACTGTTGTGTACCTGTAGTTCCGACTACTCAGTTTTACCCCTGAGAACATTATTTGTCCATAGCGTCCAATATTGTGAGTGCTTGGTCTAGGCAAGTCCTGTAGCAGGCTGCAACAGCCTTATATTGGGTGCCAAAATTTGTTGTCAGCTAGCATTGTCTTGCATTTAGTAATAATGGAAATTAAAACTAAAGCACACATTTACAGGAAAAAGCTTTCATTAGAAAGTAAGAGAAAATGGAAAGGGACTTTAGCTTGAGGAGCTGGCAAAGATCAGGTCAGTCCTTGACAAGAGTAAGAGTGATAGGAAAGGACTGCAGTTTGAACAGATGAAGAGGCACGTTCTGGTGAAGGGGCTAGGATTAGCTGGTGGGCTGGGGTCTAGTTGATCATTATCTCAGCCCTGCTTTCCTAGTTCTAGAATCCCTGTGGCATGAAGGGCAGTTCTGATCCCATGAAATGAGCATCTCTGTGGTGGTTCCAGTCATGTGGAGCTCTGCTTTTTCCTGGAAGCCTGGTGATCACAGTAGATGGTTAGAAAATGGCTGGAGGCTTCTGGGTGTAATTGCATATCCCAGTACATGCCTTAACTTGGTGTCGTCAGTCTTGAGGGGGATGATATCATGTAAACTCAGGGCTAATCAACCTTGTTTTTCCAACTTTTAGACACTTTAAATGATCAACATCCATTTGTAGGGCTGAGAAGGGATTTGACCCCAAAATTTACAGTAACAAAGGATACAAAATAAAGGTCACACTTTAACCTGCTTTTAGTTACCTTTTGGGAATCTGTAGGCTCAAGGGAGGAATCATGGCTTTTAGCAGAAATGGAGTTTAAGTCCCTGGCTCTCCTAGAACAAAAATCATGCTTTTAATGAGTAGCAGGTAAGGACCTAGGACACTTCCCGTCTCTCATCCCTATGGCGGTCTCTGACTATGTCATGACTGTGTCAGTGAAGTGAGTGGAGCTCTTTAGAAGGTTTCTAGACCACCAAGAAGGCAGTGGCTCATACACTTCAGGAACCAGAGTTCAAAGATGCACCTGCTTCTTTTATGTTACTGACCTTCTTCCTAAAGCAGCTGCTGAAACTCCAGATATAAATGAAAAGCATAGTAAAAGATAGATAAGATAGGAAGTAGGGGGATAGATCTTTCTCAAATGGAAAGGGACCATGATTTTGAAGGAGGGGGAAGAAGGGGAGAGGAAGTAGATAAAAAAGGAATTAAGATGTGTTATGTGCATGTACCAAATCTCCACAAGGGATGCAATTATTATTTACTAATGAAAAGCAAAAATCAGGGAAAAATGCAAAAATAAAATAAATGTTTCGTATCTTAAAAAAAATAAATAAAACAACGGCTGAAAGTATTACTCATGTAGCATCCAATGGCATAGCTTTTATTCCAGCTCTTTCATCCTGCTCACCTGGCCTTCTTTGCAGGTTTATCCAATCTCTCAGTGCTTCGTGTACTCATCTGAAAGATGGCAGGGATAGGATCCTGTGAGAATTAGAGATAATTATCCTCAGGCACTTAGCTTGGTGCCTACAACACAGGGTATCTTGGCAGGTGGCTCATAGATTCACCGCCATCATTATCTGTGACTGTGGGAGCTCAGAGGCTGGAGTTATGCATAGAAGGAAGGGCTAGCTTTGTGGAATGTAAAGAATCCCATCATGGATGGATTGTAGAGAGAACAATAGATGTGTGATAAATGCAGCTCAGTATTCTTTACAGAATCTAGGTAAAGGGAGCGTGGGTGTCCACTTTTATTATACTTTAAGCTTTTCTATGCATTTCACACATATTCATAATAAAAGTACTGGGATCAAGGACTTCCATCTGAAGATGGATCTTCCATCTGAAGATCTTCAGAGCTGACAAATCCATAATGACATCAGTGAATCAAATTCAGTGGAAAAAATAGGTTATTTGCTTCTTAAGAAGAGTGCATGTACCTGTGTCAATGTTAATGTTTCAGTAGGTGAAACTGAAGAAGTAGGATTAGTGCTCCACTTCATGGCAAAACGAACCTGTGGTACTGAAAAGTGTCTACATTATGACAAGATAAAAATATATGAAAGATATAAATGGGCAGTAGTTTATGCGTGTGATACGTGTCATAAGGTTCTGAACAAAAACTTTGAAAAATGAGTGCAAAATTTGGCTTTGATGCTGGGCGTAGCATCACGTACCTGTAGTCCTCTCTACTCAGGAAGCTGAGAATCACTGCAATCCAGGAGTTTGAGGCCAGCCTGGGCAATGTAGTGAGTGTAGTGAGACCCTATCCCTTGGTGGTGGTGGCGGGGCTTATCTATGACATTAAGAGCAAATAAAAGTACATAGAATTCTACATTCAAGTTTGACTTGGTTGCTGATTTTACTAGTCATCCAAAATGGCTGGGCCTCTCTTTTCACTGCTGATACTAATGTTCTGTCAGCCAAAGCACCGATGCAGAATGATCCAGAGAAATAAACCAAGTAGTGGACTTTCAGTTGCCAACAGGGGCGACCCACATGTTGGGGCCACATCCCCACTACCCATGTCCTTCACTGTGCCGCCTGCGTGCAGGACTGGGTGCCCAGGCCTCTCCCATCCCTTCCTTCACCCTCCTCCCAGCCACTCCCCTACTCAACCTCCACAGGAAATGTTTTAGTTTTTCTTTCAAAGCGCAAATGCACTCATTTCAGCTATCATGACTTTTTGTTTAAACAGACTCCTGAGTAGTCAGGGCTCCCTTGGCTTGTCTTTGTAGATGCCTATGTTGAAATCAGAATGTTTTTCAGAAAGGACAGTGTTTGATTAGGATGTCAGGAAATGTGTTCTTTGTCCTTAGCTGATGATGTGATGTTTTAGAAACATGTTAAAAAGTCTAACTGCTGTTTTTATCCACCCCCTCTCTTTTCAATTACCTTGTTCATAGTATATACTCTTCCAACTTCCATGCAGTGAAGAGGGAATCAGATGGGACACCAGGGGATCTCGCTAGCTTGGAGAATGAGAGGCAGATTTATAAAAGTGTCTTGGAAGGTGGTGACATCCCTCTCCAGGGCCTGAGTGGGCTCAAGCGACCCTCCAGCTCAGCTTCCACTAAAGGTAATTAACAGAGTGAAGCCTGGCAAGCCTCTGCCTCCCACACACACCCACATCAGCAGCGGTGACCTCCAGCAACTGGGACGAGCTCTGCCTTGTTCACCTCCCTATCCAGGCCTCGGAGCCCTCTTGTGTCCCCCACCCCCCCATTTTCTCGCCGGCCATTTTTCTTTCTAGTGTTAATGGTTTCCCATCCTCTGAACCTCAACCTTGCTCTCCTTGAAGCATCTCTCTCCTTTTTGTTCTAATTCCCTTCTCTAGAAATTAGCTGAGCTTCAGCCTTTCCTAACTGGCAGGGTGGCAATTTCTTTTGTTGCATCTTCGCGCCTGCTTTGCAGCACAGATTATTTTGCTTCCGGACATCAACTGGAAATTTTTAAAAGCCCTTATGACAAATGAGCATGTTACCTCTCCTTTTTAAAATTTTTATTTATTAGCAGCTTTCAGCTTTAACCTAATGGGTCTGTTTATTTTATTCTGCATGCTTACCAGTGGATCGTAAAGGTGGGAATGCTCACATGATTTCTTCATCTTCAGTTCATAGCCGAACGTTTCACACTAGCAATGCATTAGGCCCTGGGTGTAAACACAAGAAGCCCCTGTCAGCTGCGAAGGCCTGCATTTCAGAGATCCTACCTTCCAAATTCAAACCTAGGCTCTATGCTCCCAGTGCTCTTTTACAGGAACAGAAGAGTGTCCTGTTGCCCTCAGAGAAGGCTCAGAGCTGTGAGAACCTTTGTGTTTCTGTTTCTCTGAATGATTCCAAAAGAAGCCTCCCCCTCCAGGTTGGGGGAAGCATTGAGAACTTGCTCATGCGCTCCAGGCGGGATTATGACAGCAAATCCAGCAGTACCATGAGCCTCCAGGAGTATAGCACCAGCGCCAGGAGGCCCTGCGCTCTCTCCAGAAAGGCTGGGCTGCATTTTACCATGTTCTACCGGGACATGCACCAAATCAACAGAGCCGGCCTGTCCCTGGGATCCATCTCCTCCTCGAGTGTGCGGGATCTTGCCTCCCACTTTGAAAGGAGCAGCCTGGCATTGGCCAGGGGTGAGCTAGGGCCCAGCCAGGAGGGCTCAGATCACATCCCCAAGCACACCGTTTCTACCCGCATCACTGCTTTTGAGCAGCTCATTCAGCGGTCCCGGTCCATGCCCTCCCTGGACCTGTCTGGCCGGCTGAGCAAGTCCCCGACACCTGTGCAGCCCCGGAGTGGACTGACCTCCACCCGCTCAGCTGAGTCCCTCCTTGAGTCCACTGAGCTCCGTCCCAGAGAGATGGATGTGATGAGCAGCAGTGGGGTCTACGATGCCCCCACGTGTGGCAGTATAGCAGCCCACACCTTGGGCTTCAGGGACCTCATGCCTTCTGAGCCCCTCTCTACCTGCTCAGATGAGCTGGACCACTGTTCAAATGTCTCCAGTGACAGCAGAGAGGGCAGCAGCAGCAGTATTCATGGAGACTTCCCCAGACATCGTCTCAACAAGTGTAAAGGGACCTGCCCTGCCTCTTATACCCGCTTTACCACCATCCGGAAGCATGAACAGCAGCAGTCCCCCAGGCAGCCAGATTGGCGCTTGGATTCCAGGGGGGACAAAAGCGCACTCCTGAGGAACATCTACCTGATGAGTCCCCTCCCCTTTCGGTTGAAAAAGCCCCTCCAGCAGCACCCCAGACAGCCTTCCCCTGCTGACTCCTCAGGCTTCCCGGTGGGCCAGAAGCCAGACCTCCCCATTCTGCCCCATCAGGACCAGGTGCCCTCTTCAGGGAAGCCTTTGGTTCCCACTCGCCTGTCTTCCCGGCACACCATGGCCAGGCTTAGCCGAAGCTCAGAACCCCCTCACGAGAGAACTGTGGTCCTGGAGGACGGCTCAAGGGCCATTAATAATGGGGACTATGTGCCATACTCAGACCACGGCCTGGACAGGAACAACAACCCTCAAAGTGAACTGGCACCATCCCTTGGAGGTGGCATTTTGTGTGTTTGACCAGTCTCACCTCCCCCGTCTCTATTTTGCTTGCTTTGTCTCTTCCTCCCATGTGCCTTTGGTGCTCATTTTCTGCTCTGTCCTTTGCTTCTGTTTGTTTTGCTTGGCAATTAACCATGGCTCATAGTGGCTGCGCTTCTTTAAGAACAAAGCCCCATGTCATTTAGACTAACCACCAAACTGTGTTTCGAAAGAAAAATTGGCCGTTTAGCTCATCTGAGAAATGTGTTCATTTGAACTCTCAAACCCCTTATTGTTTGCGCCAGTCCCTGACCTACCTGTGGTTTTTTGAGTGGCAGCCTTTCTCTGTGGCCCTGTGTGTGTGAGTGTACAGTTTGTCCCTAAAAAAGCCTGCACGCCTCTTTTTAGGGACTCTTAAAGTATGTCCTCTCCTTTTGCCTTTTGATGAGTTTCTTTGTGTTTAACTAGTTTGCAAGTAAATCCAAAACTCAGGGTGGAAGGGGGGATTGAATTCTTTTCTTCAGAATTTAGTTATTGATCATTGATCAACAACAACTATCAATATTTGATATTTATACCAGAAGAAATGTGAAATCTTTTTCTTACCTGATTTTCCACTAAACCTTTGTCTGCTTTAATTCTACTCCGTTGTTTTGAAGATTCAGAATCACCAAGACATTTTATACCAGCTGATTACTTGGAATCCACAGAAGAATTTATTCGAAGACGTCATGATGATAAAGAGGTACGTTTCATCATTTAAATCTCTTGGCACTTGCAGAAAAAGAGCATAAAGGAACTAAACATCCTAGATACCAGTCAGAGAAGTAAAAAAGTAAAGATTGAGGTTTTCATGGTGATTTTTTTGTTTTTATAGGACGTAGGCTTTATCATTTCTCCTTTAATTTACTTAGAAAACAAAACAAAACAAAAAACGGGTCTGATTTCCTCACAGGTTCTCAGTTACAAATGCCCAGCCAGCAGGGCTGCATAGGACGTATAAAAAGAGGTTGTCTCTGCTGCACTTAATGCCTCATAAGCTGGGAGCTGAAGTTCACCCATTCATTTCTCCTTCCACATTTCTCCCCACTGTTGTATAAGGGAACCTTCCCACTGTTTCTCCATTCCTGTCCAGCCTTCTATTGGCACAAAGCATAATTCAAATTGGGACGGATGCAGTAGGAAAAAGAGAAAAATGACAAATAATAATTACCATGATACATTTTATAAAACAGCTTGAGAAAATTGCCCATAACTGTGTTACTTTTAGTTTGGAACAGAGATATCCCCATAAGTTCTGGTAAGACCCAGGCAAAAACTTCAGAACCTGGATATATACCTCCAGCTACAGAAATGTCTGTTCAGTGATGTGACTGGAAGGGTCTATAAAAGAGCCTGTTATTTCAGGGATCTACACATCAGCCACTGAATGGGCAAGATCACAAACCTCTGCTGTGATAAGATGTCATGAAGCGTATTTTCTGGGCTTCATTTTCCTGGGTAAAGGGGTTTTGTCCATTAAAAAAGCTCATTGCCTATATGTAGTGAGGAACGATTTTGAGTGAAAAGATGGAAAAATTGTTTGGAAATGACGGTGGTTCTTCATACTCACAACTTGGTCCCATCCTCTTTTTCTGTGCTGCTCTGTCTTTAGTCATCCATCAGAGTTTAGGTGAATTTCCTTGAGGATTTAGGATGATGTTGACCTTGAGGAAAAGTAAATGATTATAATCATCTCTTCCAGGTAGTGCGACAAAAGACAAAAAGAAATGAGCATACCTCCCAATCTCCAAGCACAAACAGTGCTTACTAAGACATTACACTTGTCCATAGAAAGAAACAAGAGGAAGTATTTGATACACAGTTTTTTTCTAGTGAGGAAATACAAAACTCACTAATAATTGTTCACCAGAACACAGAACAGATTCATTCCTATAGCTATTTCTTAGATATATCCTGTCACCAAGATACAAGATTCCTATGTATGTAGGTCCAAGCTACCATGATAAAGAAAGATGAAATTCAATTTTAGTAGTAAAACCCTACTTCCATTTAACATGGAAGGTTTTGTGGTTGAATTCTTGCCTATACAGGGGGTCGTATTTTACTTGATTTAACAATTGACATATTAGAAGTTGCACACAAAATGGGAGAACTTGTTTCCTGAATGATGCCAGCTTATAAATCCTAAAATTGTTTGTGTCTTTACTGACATTTTTTGGCTTATGTGGTTAAACTGCAGGCCTGATGGATTTAATGAGGTCGGATTTAAGCAGGAGGTTGTGAACTTGCTCCATTTGATGTTGGTTTCCACTGATGATACTTAACCTTGGCCAAAGCACTGAGGGTTTTTAGCAAGTACATGTGGCAGCCTCGAGCACAAGTCCATTTCCACTGCTACAGGAAAGACACACTTCCCACCTGAGGGGATATCAGTCTGAACTTTTTATGCAAATGCCTTCTTAGTAATGCTGATTATAATGGCTTTTCAGAAAATGAGAAAATGTCAGTTGCAGAAGGGTCATTAGTGGTAATCTACCCAACTCCCCCCTTTTTTTTTACCCCAAAAAGGACCATAGCAAGGTAATGGCTTGAGCAGGGCCACCCAGCAAGTTAGCTTAAACCAAAGGCAGAATTAGAAATCAAGGCTCCAGTTTTCTGAGCACTGTGCTTTGCAAAGCACTGGCTTGTCTTTTTACATTTAATCTTTTTTTGGTTTTGTTTTTAAGACAGGGGCTCGTTACATAGTCTAGGCTGACCTCGAATTTGTAGTGATCCTTCTGAGTCAGCCTCCTGAGTGCTGGGATTATAGGTATGTGCCATCATGCCAGACTCTCGTTTAATCTTTACATTTTACTGAGGTCTACAAATCTCAGCCTCTGATAAGTTCTTTGTAGACCCTGGAGAAAAATTAGAATCACCAGCCCTTGGGGCTAGATATCACATGAGGCACTTAATTGTCTGTTGGAAAAAGACTAACATTTATTGAACATGCTAAGAAATTTAAATTTGAATTAATGCTTTGTTTTTTAAGGAACTTTAATCCCAGGAATATGACTACTGTGATATAAGGAAACACATTAAAATATACTTTAAGCCATTTCAATAGGCACTGAGGGCATTTGATAAGAAGCAGCATTATTTGATTATTTCAAAAGGTTTTTCAAACTAGAAATAGAAAACTATTTTATTAATGCATTCTAGATGGCATTATTCTTAGTTTATATTTTACACCATTCCCTAAACTCAAATTCATTTCACCTAATGGAGAATAGTTCAATAAGATGATGAGGTTTTCTGTCAGCCATGTTTATACCCTTTTGTACTTTTCCGAAGGCCTCCCAAAAATTGTGCCTGGGGGAATATTGGCTGGCCAAAGAGAAAGGACACTTTAGCTTCTAAATAAGCAGCTCCACTCTGAAGAATCTATTGGAGTAATAGACAGGGGAGGCACAAAGATGACCTGGTTGTGAGACAGTATGGTGTGGGCAGGAGGAATTAGTCAGTCCTGCTCCTGCCCTGAACTACACTGTGGGGATGTATGGCTGCCTGAGGAGGGAGGGATGGCACAGCCTCCTGCTGCCCACCAGCGTGCTGTAGTGCCCTGGCTGTGCCCCTGAGTGACCTGCCCTTGTTCCCCAGTTTCTCTCAGACAGTCCTCTCTTCTTACTAGAGAGAACTGAATGATTATGATGGGAGCACAGGAGTTGTAGGCAGAAGACTCTGACATCTGACCCGGGAAGTCTCCTACCTGCTCACCCAGTACCTTCTTCCCTAGTTGCTTGTGTTGGCAGCTTTCCAATTCCTTAGACCCAATAATTCACTGCCCATTTTATGCAATTTCATGGCAGAAACTTTTAGCGGACCAGAGACGGCTTAAGCGCGAGCAAGAAGAGGCCGACATTGCAGCTCGACGCCATACGGGCGTCATCCCGACGCACCATCAGTTTATCACTAATGAGCGCTTTGGGGACCTCCTCAATATAGACGATACTGCAAAAAGGAAATCTGGGTCAGAGGTCTGTTTTGGCCGCCTCAAACTGCTGCTTGACCCAAAGCAATATTTGTGTTCAGCATTGTCTTCTGTAGGCCAATTTAGTTCTCCAAACAGCACCCGTCATCCTGGCTTCCCTTAGCCTTGCTTTGGCTGGTGAATGGACATGACCCCGTGTCCTATGCTCTATATGTTCAAGCATGCCTGGCTGTGGGACCGGGATCTGCTGGTGCACACCCCTCATGCATGCTTATTGTGTCAGCTGCCTTCACGAGTCCCATCTCCATCCTGCATTTATCATGATACTGTGTTGCCTGTGCATTCGCTTAGAAACCATATACTTTAGGTTGTATGCATTGGTAGCTACGGTGTGGACAATTATAAGGTTATTTTTATAGAGATGATTAATGAAACATTATAAAAGTTACCTACTGCTACTTTATGCCATTTACAAGGACCTCACAATTTAGTTATTGAAATGTCGGAGAACAATACTGCTGTTCACGTGTGGATGGCTTGCGTGAACTGCTCAGTAATACTGCTCCACCTCACTGAGGGAATTTTGAAAACCAAAGACTTACACTGAGGATTAGCCCATGGAGAATAAGAGCTCTCTGAGGAACATTTCATTTGTTGCTTTAATGTTGATGTTTCTAAGTTGAGTTTACAAAAGTTTAATATTATAAAGAACTGAAGAAAAATGAAATCTTGAAATGATTTTTACCCACATCTTGGTCTCCTACACCAAGGCCAATAGGCTGGAATTCTCATGCTGGTCAAATGCAACCTTTTGCAGAAGAGTTTCTGCTTTGCTGTGTTACCTTTAAGTAGCCTGCTGCTGCTGGTCTCTGCTTGGGGAAGCATGTATATCCAGGACTTGGAGTGGGGTTAGAGGAAGAGGGAGTGACACCCACAATATGTAGTTTTACTGTATAATCTTTCAATATGGTAGTTAATATTCATGTCTCTATCATTTGAATGACAGAGATGTCACTTCCTCATTCTTGTTCCTAAAGAAATAGAAGGTATTAGGAAAAGGAGATAAAGAAAAGAAGCTGGGAAGGGGAGATCCTAAAGTGTGAAGAAAAAAAAAATGTAAGACGAAAAAGCAAAATTTAGCAAATGTTACTCAACTGCCAGCTCCTCAGCCCTTAGCATTGCAGCTGCCTCTCAGAATGGCCCTGTTCTGAAGGCTGTGGTGCTGGATCATCCTCATTTCCCGGCTAACTGCCTATGAAAGAGGAAGGAGATGACAATGTGCACAGGCACCCTAGGGATACACGTGAATGAAAATGCAGTGCCGGTGAGATAACTGTGATTCCCTGAGGAGCCCTGCTTCCCTCATGGCGCAGCGGTTCCCACATTTGATTGCTCATTAGAACCTTCTGCAGGCTTGTTTTGAAAAAATTCTGAGCCCCATTTGCAAGGTTTCTGATTCTGGAGTGGGGCCTAGAATTTGCAGCTTCCAAGGTGATGTTGATGATGCCAGTATAGGGACCACATTTTGAGTATCACCGCCCTAGAAAGTGACTGATAGACTTGAGAAGGTAGAGATCAATAAGCACCAGATTGTCAAAGCTGGGTAGAGGTACTGCAGTCTGGTTCATTAGAAGTGGAGTGACCACTAATTTTGTTGAGACTCCATGGCAGGCAGAATCAGGGCTCTCTGTGTCATTGGTAAGCTGTCAGGGGAAGGCTCTCCATCGTCATCGTCATTGTCTCTTATTAACCTAAGCCAATTTATAAATTCAGTGCATAACTGTACAGTTGTATTGACTTAGTTGATAGGTGGTATTTTGAGTAATGAGGATGTGGATGGAGGGTGGGCAGGCCTGGCCTAATGATAAACTTGCTAAGAACATGGGGATGTGACAGAGGCTGACCTCCAGACCTGGGTGTCTGGGAGGACTAGGCTACCCCAGGAGGAGTGGAGTCTCAGCCTTTCTGAGCTCATAAATTATAAGAAATATACTGAGTTAAATATGACATAAGAGATGTATCAGTTTCATCTACTTGCGGATCATAATTCAAGTCAGACAAATAGCTGTCCACTAAAGAATGACACAGTGGGTAAGGAACATCTTAGGTCTTCTGGCTGACTTTTTTTAAATAGCCATAGTCATGATTTAGGGAACCAACACTTCTTTTAGAAATAAATTTTGGCCCTCTAGGTGAATAATTCTGCTTGACTCACCGACTAAACATCCATCTAGTGATCTGCAAAGGTTAGACACTGGAATTCTTGCCAGATTTCTGTATCAGAATGAGCTTGTTAGAGTGAAGCTTTCTGCTTTGCTTTTTAGAAATGTGAAAATGTATTTTTTTATTGTTCACCAATCATGATTTTAATTTGTCATTGTTTCTTGTGTTTAGATGAGACCTGCCAGAGCCAAGTTTGACTTTAAAGCTCAGACACTAAAGTAAGTGCCACCAGTCACATTTATTTGTCTTCTTAGCTACCTCTTTGAAACACAGCAGTGCACTTGTAGAATAAAGTTGGAGAAATAACAACTGGGGTTAAAAATGGACAGTAGTTTGTGTGCAGGCACTAATTAAAATATGTTGCATATGGTAACTGATATTTATCCCTTATGAATCAGGACTGAATCTTAATAAGTAGGTGTGGTTATTATCACCATTGAACAAATGAGGAAACTGAGTGATTTCAACATGAAAGAACTAGGACCAGCAAAATTAACCAGGTTTTTCTTTCCCTGGGACTTCTCAGAGCTTGTGCTCTGCTCATGTATACAGTGACATTCCAGAAAAAATCTGAAGTGTATTGTGCTGCTCTTTCCCAAGTGTTCTTACCACCAGACCTGGTAATATGGTTCTCTGGGAGCTGCGGTGTGGTCCACAATGTGGGCAAGATGGAAGCCCCAGAGACACTGTGGTATGTTTCCAGTGGCTACAACTATAGACGTCTCCAGTTTCCTTCCTCTCATATGAGTTGTCCTCCTACTCAGGGTAGCAGACTTAGAAGCCTGTACATCGCCAGCTGGGATGGCTGTACTGAGGGTCTTGCTCCTCTTCTTGCCCATAGTTGAAGGTAAAAAGAAAGGAAAGTCAGAACACTCCAAGGAGGGGTGTGGTAAAAATGTGACCGGAGACATTCCTTCCCTCAGGGACAAATGCACAGATCCTCTTCCCTCCCCTTTTTGGATCAAAATCCTGCCTTTAATAGAGACCCATAAAAGCTGCTTTGTGATTTTATTTAGCACAGGGTCAACTGTGTAAAGTTCTCCAGATGTACCCTATTGTTTAGTCAGCATTCCTCATGCACCCTGGGACTTGCTGGCATACTGCAAAGAGGTGACACCCCTTCCGAAGTACACTCAGAAACCTTTCTTCCTGTGCTGCTGCTTCAGTACATATGAAAACCATATCATTTTTTTAAATTAAAGAAATTTCAAGTTACAGTTTTTATTCTCTTTAAGTTTTTATTTTGTTTATAGTTTGTCTATTTGTCTCATTTTGTGGGGGGATGAGACAGGGTTTTCCTATTTTGTTCAGGCTGGCCTTACACTGACTGTGTAGCCCAGGTTGGCCTTGAACTCACAGCAACCCTCCTACCTCAGCCTCCCAAGTACTAGGATTATAGGCATGTACCACCATGCCTATCCTAAAGATAATTTAAAACTATTCATGTATATCTTAATGGACAGAGAAGAAGTAAAGGGATCTAAAAGAAGAAGACAATTTTTTTCTTTATTTAACAAATATCAGTTAAGATGGTTGGTACTGAATAGTTTCTCTGGTGTGAAAAACTATAATTGTGAATAAGATCCTAATGGTATAAATGATAATGTAAAATAGGAAGAAAAGTGCTAAAGATGTAGGGGAAGTGGAAAGGGTAGGGGAAAGGAAATAAGGGAAAAGAAAAAAATATGAGAAAATGAAAAAATGGAAAGGGAAGAGGGAGTGAAGGGAGGGGAGGGGTAAGGGGAAAAAAATGAGAACCAAGACCTGTCATGTAAAGGTACAAGAGCCCAATAATGAATGCAACTGTACTGTATACCTAAAATGTACCAATAAACTCAATAAGGAAAAAAAAATTAAGATGGTTGGGTGCATTGCCAAGTAGTTTGTCAATATTCTAAGCATTAAGTCAGCATTCACAAAAAATGCACTGGGAAAACCACAACAAACTAACAAGGCCTCTGAGCACTTTCAAATGCTAGTCAGTTGGTGTGTTAACACTCCTCCTGCAAAGGACTGGAAAAAATGCAGTGTGATTTAATTTGCTGAATAGTGAATTTTTTTTCCAAATATGGAGCTGCCTCTTCTGTAATTTGTCCCTTTCGACCTTGCTTGAAGTCTCTTTTTGCTAACTAACCTAAGTGTTTTAGTTGTGCATATATTCAATCATTTGCTAAAATGTTCTGACCCTCTGTCAACAGGGAGCTTCCTCTGCAGAAGGGAGACATTGTTTACATTTATAAGCAGATTGATCAGAACTGGTACGAAGGAGAGCACCATGGCCGTGTGGGAATCTTCCCATGTACCTACATCGAGGTACTGTAGCCCCTTCCATTGTGAGGAAAAGCCTAGTCATGCCCAAAGCACCATGATTTACCAAGTGCTTGTGTTTTACTCCCTTCTTTTCCTCTTTCTCTTCTTTCTCTCTCTTCTTTCTCTTTTGCCTTTTTTCCTTTCCCAGCTTCTTCCTCCTGCTGAGAAGGCTCAGCCCAAAAAGTTGCCACCTGTTCAGGTTTTGGAATATGGAGAAGCTATTGCTAAGTTTAATTTTAATGGTGATACACAAGTAGAAATGTCCTTCAGAAAGGTAAGCTACCCTTTTCATCCTGTACTTTGAGGCTGTTTTGGATGGTGCCATTAATGTGAGAAATGTGACTTTGCCATTGCCTTCCAGCGTGCACCCTTTAGAGATGTACATCAGTCAAAACTTGGAGTAAGGGCAACCAGAGAATTTTCTGAGGTCAGATATTTTGAAAATAAACTCTAGGCTAAGTCAGGGTTTAACTACATTGAGTTCACTGATTTACAACAGTATTTCTGGAATCTTAAACAGCTTTTATAAATTCCCCCACCAACATTTAATGAGCACTTAATACTGTGATGAGCACTGCATTGGTTTACTCATCGCAAAAAACAATACTGATATCAGGAGGAATTAGAAAATCTTTGAATTCAAAACTTACTGGCTATGCACCATGTGGGGAGTCAAACACTGTCTGAGCTCTCATTGCCACATATATAAAAATGAAGGTAAATGATTCTCTCTCAGGATGGTTGTAAAAGGCCTAAGAAACACATGAAATGGCTGGCTTGGCACACAGCACCTGGTTGGTGCTCAGTAAACAGGGGTTGCCAGTGTTGTCACCATCATTATTGCCTTGGAGGAGCTCAGCTTGTTGATTTTGAACACACTTACACTGTGCAGGGAACTCTTCTTCCCAGGGACTCCAGAGCTCTCTACATATCACAGTTCTCTGGAAGCAACCTAATTGCCCAGCAGCAGGGGATCAGTAATTACATCATTTATGTGTGAATTTTCTGCATTGGTCCATTAAGCTGTACAACATTGTTAAAAATTTAGAATTGCGTCTCTTGATAAAGAAGGAAGTTCAGTATGTATTGTCAGTCTAAAGCAAAGCAAGTAGGAAAAGGGATGTACAGTTCCTGTTCAATTTGCATAGGAAAAATATGAATAAGTCTAATTCACATGTGTGGAGTTACATGTGGAAAGTATATATGTTGCAATATTAACAGTGGTTTTCTCCAAGTGATGAATATTTTCTGCTGTATGTTTGCTTATCTTCTAACTTTTCTGTAATAATACATGAAAAATAAAATATGAAAAGGAAGAGAGAGGAAGTTTTTGCCTTACGGGTGAAGATTGGGTATCTGTTTTGCCTTAAATGAGTCAAACCACTACATTTGCCTTCCACATCGGCAGCATGAATTTGATCTTCTTCTTTTTACTGAAATACTTGAAGATCCCCTGAGACATTAACTCCATACAGGTCCAGCAGGGCAGAGCAAGAGGATGTGATAAATGCACAGGACAGTCCAGGCACAGGCCTCAGAGAGGTGTGATGGGACAAGGACTCTTGTCTTGCTGTGTCTTTTAGGGTGAAAGAATCACACTGCTTCGACAGGTAGATGAGAACTGGTATGAAGGGAGGATTCCAGGGACATCCCGACAAGGCATCTTCCCCATTACCTATGTGGATGTGCTCAAACGGCCACTGTTGAAGAACCCCATGGATTACATTGATCTGCCTTACTCCTCCTCTCCAAGTCACAGTGCCACTGCGAGTCCTCAGGTATCTAAGCTTGTCATCACTGGTTTCTATTCTAAAACATATGCTCAGCAGTGCCAACGGCACACAGCCCCTCTGGGTGGTTCTGGAGCACTGTGGTTATGACTGCCTGTAGCAATGGGGACTATACACTAGAGTTTGTCTTTGTGTACACACGTGGCATTTTTCCAACACTTGGAAGGAGAAACATTTCAGGGGAAAATAAAGAATTTAAGGTAATTGCCTTGGGGATAAGGTGAGTAAGGAAAGAGAAACAAGAGCCTTTTTTTTTTTTCTTTTGTACCGGGGATCGAACTCAGGTCCTTGTTCTTGCAAGGCAGGCGGCAGAACCACTGTGCTAAATCTCCAGCCCAGAGAAACAAGAGCCTTTATTAGTTGGTTAGTGGTTTTAGTGATAAAAGTTGGTGGTATAGGTACTGTCACTATATTATAAATCCTACAGCTCAGGAAACGTCCTCTGCCATGTTGTTAGTCAAGATTGGCTTGCAGAAAACAACAGTGGAAAGAGTATTATGATTTCATCCTCAGAATTGTAGGCCACATCCAAAGTATTTGTGTAAGCATTCACTTGAACCAGGTTGAAAAATGTACTTAAAAGGTGTGATCGAAAAATACAGTAAATATTTAGTTTAAAAATTTTATTACATTAAATGACACATTGCAATTAATCTCTCTCAAAATAATCCCCTCATTTTAAACAGACTAATCCAATCATTCTTGCCACTTTTGAAGCATTCTGAGAAGTCCTTTTTCCTGAGTGTCTTCAGTGTCATGACAACCTTGATGTCCAGAATTGCTTAAAAACATTTACCTTTCATGGTCATTTTCAATTTGAGGAAGAACCAGAAGTTACATGGTGGAGGATCCAATGAATAAGGCAGATGAAGATATGCTGTAATGTTTTTATAAACCTGCCTTTTTCTCAGATGGCACTTAGCAGCATTCACCACATTTTTTATCAGACCTCATAAATACATGGAGGACTCATAGAACTGTAGAATGTGGCAAAGGCATAAGTCTGTTTGAAGCGAGGGCAAATACTGTGAGAGGGATTCATGGCAATGTGTCTTTTACTACAATAAAATTTTAAATTTTAAATATTTATATTTTTCGATCACCCCTCATAAGTCTATACTAAGCTGTGCTTATAATCATAGAAAGCTGTTTTTCTGGACATTAACTATGGAGAAACTTGTTTTAAAATATGAGTTCTTGCAAACCCGTGCCCACCTTCCTAAAAGCCATGAAAAAATGTGAACTTTAAGTATAGGAGAGGTATAGTTGGGGTGATATCCCGAATAAACTGAGCATATGTCCATGCAAGTTGTTGGGAACATGAACAGAGGACTCAAGGACCCAGGGTAACACTGAAATGGTACCTTTTTTACTCTCATCCTTTGATTATTTCCTCTTTGTCACTGACCCAAGTAGGGGCCTGTTTGACATAAGCATTCAACAAGCTTCCTGCACAGTGAGGCCCATGTCCTGCCATGGCAGGGGGTGTAAAGCAGGACATCTGCTTTACAATAATGTGGACAACTCACTGGGGTTTTCATGTGACTGTAGCCAAGGGTGATTATAAAACAAACTGGCCACGATACTCATGCTTTCTGGGAGCCTCTGCTGAGCCCTCATAGAAAGAATAAAAGCCCAAGAATGAGCCAGAAGAGTAGTGGGCCCCTCTTCCCCTAGTTCTTGTTCAGGACTGCAGTTGTGGGGATGACTGGGAGGGGTAGGGTGGGATCTCCCAGTGTGTCCTTTTGAAGTCCAATTCTGCAAAGCAGGCTGCCATTATTTGTCACTATCTGATGGGAACCTGTCCCATCTCTGGGCCACTTGCCTCTCCTGCTGCTTCTGCCTGCATGTGCGAGTGTGTATTCATGCACGCACATGTGCACACACACACACACACACACAGATTCACTCATAGCCCAGTTTCTTTCCAAACCTCTCCAGATGATTTCCCTGTTGGACACTGGAGCGTCCTGGTCATCCTCTTCTTTTCATTCCTCTTTGTGCCTCTTGTGATTATTTTCTTCCTTTTTCCTTTATGCTGACACTTGTTCCTTTTACTTCTTTCTTTTGTTTTCTTTCTCTTCTTTTCTTTTTAAGTGCCCCAGTTACAGCAAGATCGTCATGCCAGCCCCCTCATCTCTGCCCCATCCCTGTAGAGTCCTGTCCCCTGAGATGCACGCTGTCACCTCCGAGTGGATCTCACTGACTGTAGGAGTCCCCAGCAGGCGTTCTCTGGCCCTCACTCCACCCTTGCCTCCTCTGCCCGAGGCATCTATTTATGACACCGACCACCTTACCTTGTCAACAAGGGCCTATCCCTCCCTGCCTGTCAGCTTCCCTCGCTGGAGTTGGTCAGATCGCTCTACTCCACACTCAGTGGTTTCCCCACTGGCCCTGCCTGCTCCTCAGAAAACCTACTCACTGACCCCCAGCTCACAGGCCCCTCTTCATGTCAATGGAGATGGTGGTGTCCACATGCCATCTTCAGGCATCCGCCAAGATAGCTACCCCCAGCTGCTGTTTGGGAGCTCTGATAGGGTGATCTCAGAGCTTAGCGGTGCCTTTAGCAGCCAGAGCAAACTACAGCCCTGGCTAGAAGAGAATGGACAATATGAGAAAAAAGCAGAGAGTGAGGCAAGTGAGAGATGCCCTGGTGGACCCAAGATCTCTAAGAAGAGCTGCTTGAAGCCTTCAGATGTGGTCAGGTGCCTGAGTACTGAACAGAGACTCTCAGAGCTCCGCACTCCTGAGGAGAGCCGGCCCAGCAAGCCTCTAGGCAGCACTTTTCCTGGAAGGGAGGCTGGGCAGACAGAACTGCATAGAGGTGGCGAGGCTGAGAGGAGAGCTGCTCAGAGTGGTATGAGCCAGGTAGGCCTGCAGCATGACTGGGGTGTAGTTGGCATCTCACTTGGCAGGGTGGGCTGGACATTTTGCCCCTGGTCTGTCAATCAAAGCCAAGTGGATTCCTGTGAGACCTGTTTGCTTGCATTGGGAGCAAAGAGATACCCCTGAAGGGGAATGGAAGGGGGCATTGATTTAAAGTGTTAGGACTGGGGAAAGTTGGAGGAAAAGGTTAGGCTATGTTCTGGCCCATTGAGGTGATTCAGAGGTATCCTCAATTGACTGCTCCTAGCCTGGTACAAAAGCCCCTTGAAAGGACGCCCTCCCTTCTATCTATTTATGCTTTGGAAATTGTCTGGTTTGCTCAGACTAACATGGCTTTGAACACCAGGCTTTGGTGTGATGTGGTGTGGTGTGGTTTTCTGTGATGTGCACTTTGTTTTCAGTAACTCATGGTGTGCTGCTGGTGCTCAGCTGTGTCAGCCAGGTCTTTGTCCTGTCTTGTGTTTATGTGAGAGCACAAGCCCTTGTTCACAGTGAACAAAGGCATTTGGTTCTTTGGAGGAACATGCCCGTCCTCCTGCAGGCTTGGGGGTCACTAAGAGGACCTGCCAGGTTTTTGAGTGACTGACCCATCTTTCTAAGTGAGCTATAATAATTTTAGGGTTTGGATCAAGGCAGCTTTAGGGTGTTTTGAGGGCAGAAAATTTTTAAGGGAAAATGAACTTGGCAGCTGGACAGACCATCATTGCAATTTTGGCTGTGTTGTTTCTACCTAGAAAGTTAAAGACTTTGAGGAGCGTCTCTAAAGCAGGCAGGTTTGAGTACCAGCTCAGTCACTTGCTAAGTGATGATGAGAGTTATTTACCTTCTCTGGGACTTGATTTCTTAATCCATAAAAATGAATATAGCATCTACTTTATAGAATGGTTGAGGAGATTTCTAGAAATAATGCAGGTGAGGGCTAAGCACAAGGCTGGGGACATAAGTGACACTTTGTAAAGGGAAACTATAGCTACAATACTAGTCACCATTCTGTTGCTGGGAGCAGGATGTCTGGTGCCATGACAGAAAGCACCTTAAAAGAGAAAATGTTTCCTTGGCCTCTCAGTTTCAGAGGTTTCAGTCCGTGGTTGTCTGGCTCCAAGGTCAAGGTGTTTGGCATTATGGGAGAGGAAATCTGTTCAGGTTATGGTAGCCAGAAGCAGAAAAAGAGTGGAAGAGAGCCAAAGGAAGACACTAGGAATCAAACAGTCCCCACCATCATGCCCCCATGACCCATCCAGACAAACCTAGAAGTATGCTTTACTTATCTCCTGTGCATGTCAAACCCAATCAAATTGGCAGTCAAGATTCACCATCACTGCAACCATATTGGATTATATAGAACTGAGGATACTCTGCAATCTCTTTAGAACCAGTTGGATTCATAGAGATGTCTTTAAAACCATATATTTAGTAGCTGTTGTATATACTGCCCATAGTAAACTGCTCAAACCTCAGACTTACAACCTAGTTTACTTATAAAATTGTATTTATTCAGTCTGTTAGCATTAATGCAAGACTTGCTGATATCAGCCTGTAGGAAAAATCCAGAAGTTATTGATCCATGTTGTTGAGTTTATATTCATCAAGACTGGCAGATACAGCAGTGTCACAAGTACAGTGACAGGAACACAGAGGCCAGAGACATACAGTAATGTCTTGGTTCATGAATGCTTCTGTTTTCAAAGCATTTGGCAAAAGTTTGCTTCCATTTGCAAACTCCACATCAGAAGGCAAACATGACCACAACCATCTTCCCCCAAATCGTAAACCAAATTATGTCCGTAAGCTCAGGTACCGCTGTACTACTCCAGACCTCCAGCTGCAGGCAATTCACAGGCCAGCATAGAAAGAGAGCAAGAGGAAGGGAGGGAAGGAGAAGTGGTACACATGGGGTTGGGAGGCCTACTAGAAAAGGAAAACTAATTTTCAGTAAGCCTGGCAATCTCTAGTGTCACCAGCTACTCTCCTCATGACCTCTGTTAGGAAGCAGCACTACAAGCAATTTCTCACAGCTCTAGTGCAGTACCCAGGAGTGGGATCAAGGTAAGCAGTGTGGGATAGTTTATGAGAAATTGGGCTTAGCCTTTTGTTAGCAGGCCACTGAGACTCCCTGAGCCATAATTTTCCTGTGTGCACAGAAGGAGTGGGAGTCATTCCTCCCTGGTAAAGTAGTTATAAGGATGAAATGAAGTAGTGCAGATGGCATAAAATGGGGGCTCCCTGCTGCCATTACTGCAAATTGATGCCCCATCCCATAGTATAGGGCTTCAGGAAAGCAACACTACCTGGCAGAGGCTGTGCCTGGCCCCAGAACAGATGCATCTGGAATGTGTTCTGTGAGGAAGCAAAATATGTATCCAATTAAGGAAAGTGTAGGTCATTGGAACAAGTGGTAAAGTGGCTAGTTGAAAAGAAGTAAGTGTCCCTAGCACAAGAACAATTCACTCTTGAATGCAAGACATTGAGAGCTTTCTTATCCTTAGTACTGAGTCATTGTCATGGCCCAATTCCAGGATCCAGTGTGTTCAGAAACTGTATGGTACTGGACTTCTAAGTGAGGTTAGGGGCTTACACTGCCTGTTTCCTTACAGAAGACAGGTGGAATAGCTGGTAACACTGGAGACTTTCAGGCTGATTAAGATTTTGGTTGTCCTTTCCTGGTAGGCCTCCAGACCCCAGTGTACCACTTCTTGCCCCGTCCCTTGCTTCTGCTCACCTGGCACAAGGCCCTTCTCTACGGATGTGACTGGTCATTGGCCCCAAGCTTGCCTCCTGGTGTAAGTTGAGAGGCTGTATGAAAAGGGAGCCTGCCCACACACCTCCCCCTCAGCTACTCTCACTTTCCCTGCTGTGGCAGCTCTGGAAATGGGGCCCGTCACAAGGGATTCCTGCCTCTTGGGACCTTTTTGGGTGACAGATGAGCTATGATGGAAAGGACTTATATGACTGCTCTTCTCTAGTGGTCCTGTCAGGACATCATGACCTCAGGCTGTGTCATTTGTTCAGATAAATGCATTTTATACCAGTTTGTATATAAAGAACATAGCCAGCATCATTCTTCTTGCTAAACCAAAAGTTCAAGTTCATTGTATGTGTTGGAGAACTAGATTGAGTTAATGGCTGGTAAACAGAGAATTTTACCTGAGAGCCTTAAATGAAATAATAGTATGGAATGTTATGATTATTTACTCTTTCTTCCAAGCATCTAGTACATTCCAAGGATCGTGTTAAATGCTTCAAGAGATTGAGAGGGATGAGTATCAGCACGGGGCTTCCCATTGCTATTAGGAAAATCCTCCTTCTCAGGCTCAGAAGACCAATATGGGGGCAAGACAGGCTCATATTCCAAAGCTTTCATGACTTGTTTGCTTGGATAGTTCTTACCTGTTCTTCAAATGTCTGTAGGTGTTACTTCTTGTAAGAACTGGAAGAGGTTGTCTTTCCTGACAACCTCCCTGTGTGATTTAGTGAAATGCTAAATGTGCTGTGTGAGCCCTGCACCTGACCCACAGAAACACTTCTCAGCTCTGCCATCATTGCCTTTTGCTTTCCTATGCCCCTATGGAATATGAAAGTGAAGCCTAAGATCAGGAACTGTGTTATCTGATATACCCGGAAAGTGCTCAGTAAATATTTATTGAATGAAAAAAAAAAAAAGACAAAATGGCTAACAACAAAAAAGAGTTCATGACATCCACTGGGGCAACAAGACCATTTCACAAATAAGTATAATGCAAGCAAAAGAATCACACAAAGTTCACTCTGGAAATTTTAGATGGGGAGAAATAATAAGCAGCAGGAAGAAGAAGGTGATTATCTAGAAATACTTCATGAGAAAAAATTAGCATTTGATCCAGACCTTAAAGAATAAGGAATTTTCCAGAGGTATACAAGAGGCAAATAGGCTGAGCAAATAGCCCAGAGGTAGAAACAGGAAGGTGTGTTTAGGGAATGGTGTGTTCCTGGTTTGAGTGAGGCTTTTGGTATCTACAAGTAAACAGATAAGGGAGTCTGGGAGGGGCTGGAATCAAAGCTTAGAGAGTGCTCTTCTGCACTTCTAATGTTCATTAACATCTCCTAACAGTGCACTAAATCGTCCTCTTTTGAAGTCCCAGTAACCCTTGCGTAGTGATCCCTGCTCTATTTCTTTCTATACCCTTAGTCACCCTGACTCTGTATATATGTGAACTTTTCCACTAAAAAGGCTTGACTTTTCACTAAGAACTTGGTTTGGCTATTCAAGTTTTTAGGTCTGAGGTTTGTTTATTTGTTTGTTTTTTGAATAGCTAAATTGGGTAAATGAAATGTAGAAGTCTCCACGGGAAATGAGGGTAGGATGGGAAGAGCATTGCTTTGAGAGTCAGGATACTGGCTTATAGCTCCAGCTCTGCCATTAGCTTGCAGAGAGCTTTTGGATGAGTTGTAGAGACACAGGGACTGCTCAACAACTAGGCCACACACCTAGAGGTCCAACAGGAGATTATTATTAGGGAAGTCAGGTTAGGGAGAGAAGAGAGAGGGAAGAGAGAGAAGAACAAAGAAAGGAAGGTCCTTGTATCGTTTTTGGGGTGGGCTATTGCTTTTTAGGAGGAGTGGACTACCTTTAACCTATCACAGGCCAGGTTGCCCTTTATGGGTTCAGGTTTAACCTCTCTGGACTGCTGTGGCCTTGTGGGGAGGGAAACTAAAGAAAAGAGCATGAGGTCATTTTAAGAGCCAAGAGAATGCAGCCTGTGATGGCGGTGTCAGGTCCCTAACATGAGTCACTTCTGTTTCCTGGAACCCTCCTTGTCCATGAACAGTAGATCCAGGTGCAAGAACTGAAGTCCCTTCAGCTTTGATATTTTATGGTCAGGTGAAAATCTTGTGTGAATTTTAGTTGAAATGGTAAAGAGGAGCACATCAAATTTTAAGTAGAGAATTCATTATATACCTGCAGACCTTCACCATTGAGAAATGAACATTTTCCTTTTATTTGC